GTTACAGAACTTCCGTGCCAAATATTTACTTGGATATCGTGCAATAAACGAAGTTTGTGCTGCACTTTTGTGTAATCCCGGGCTCATACAATATTGGTTTATTTGTGAATCATTGTTTGTACTTTACAATGCATGCAAATAAAAGACTGAAAACCCCAATTGTTCAAGATACGCCATTGAAGTTACAACTAATCCCACAAGATCTATAAACTTTGTAACCTTAGCAACCGGTTAATACCTAATTTTTAATCAATTTAAGTTTGAATATTTCCTGAAAATGTTGTCTTGAAACGGAAATATGAAGTAAAGGCGCCGAAAACTCACAGTGCTGATAAATAAGACAACTAATGACTTTGATTAAAGTAATTTATTTCTTGTATTTTGGGGAGGTACTTCGAAATCAACGCTACCGAGTTTTGATAGCGATAAAAGTTTTTAAACAGTGATGGATACTATATACTCGAAATATACAGACGCTTATCAAACACAAAATCGTCACGCTCGAAGCGGACAGGGTATATTTTGTTTACAAAATTTTTAGTTTTCCTGCCTATAAAATCTAGCAGTGGAGGTTTTTAGGAACTATGGAAAGGATTCACTAGCAGCCGTCAATAGACTAAGTATTAGCAAAAAGTCAGTATTCATAAGAGAGCAAGTTCTCGGGTAATTCAGGGCCTGGTTTCACATCGTGTGATCATTAGGTATTCACAGTACGCTCTACTTTCTTTAATTTTTAATTCTTATCTCATATGTTGTGAATTTTTAAAGACCTACATATATTCATTTCAATTTTAATGATTCGGTTTTCATCGACGGTTTCCAGACAACGAGTTTATCTACCGAAAGAACTCGATCGACAAATATCAAAATAAACGCCAATTTTGAACTTGTTTCGAGAATGAATTCTCAATGATAAAATGTACACTGTCTACCTTTAAAAACCAGCCCCATCAAAAAACATTTACTAAAGTATGCATGAAGTAGATTTTGAAAATACTGAAGCCTTCTTCTTTCAGAAACCAAATATATCCAAAGAGACAATATTCAGCCGGTTTAAAATAAAGAGTAGCACTCAGAGGTCCTTGATGAAAACCCTCAAGTTAAAACATTCTGGATATAAAAATTTGGCGACTAAAAACATACTCGTCCTACTGTGGTCAGATTTCTTTTCGCGATAAGAAAGTTTGCCCTGAGGTCACGGCAACAGACACATCTGTACTCATGGAAACGGCGGATTTAATTTCAGCTTTTAAGAAGCTGTCAATAAGTGTGAACCAAAGGGGAACTAGGCAGTCAGAACTAGAAAGAGACTCAGTCTCATAACTCTGATGTACGCTCGATAAAACTAAAAAAAATTACAGTTCAAGAGAAAATGGAAGGTCATTAGGAGCCAAACGGTGAAAATAATGGTTTGAACCATAAGGGTTTTTCTCAGGTGCGTTAAGGGAAAGATTACAATTATTAAGACTGCGGTGCATGCAAACACAGGCTTTAGACACTTCGGTTTAAATTATCACACCAGTGAAAAGAGAGATGAGTTCCACAGTTGACGCAAGTCAAACTTCGATCAAGATCTCCGAATATGATTCTGATGATGAAATTTTACAGAAGCAGGAGGAATGTGCAATAAGTGATGTAACGACAGAAGACGACTCACATGGATACAGCTTCCGTTCATGCCACAGAACCAAATCAGGAAATGGAACTGGATGTCACCACTCTCGATCCACTTATCTTTATGAAAGGAATCCACTACAAGATCCTCGCTTTACAAGGCTGATCGAGCTACTCGTGCCTTTGCGTAATCAATTAAAAGTGGAAAAAAAGAATAAACTGGATTCTAAGAAAACATTATCCTCACGCCATGAGATTTGTTTTAAAGATATCTGCCTCAACGAAACTTGCCGTTTAGTGTTTAAAATAATGAGCAAAGGCAATGAAAACGGAGAAGCGCAACGATAAAAAAAGTTCTGGATCGTTTTTCTACCTGATTTCTAAAGATTTTCAAGACTTTTTTAGTATAAATTTCACCTGGATTGATGACGACATCTCCTGATCTAAATTTATATTTAATTATTCACCATTTTCGCTTCTTTACACGCATGCTCCATGGTCATACCGGCTATTTATTTAAACTGTTGTCTACTCCGCAAAATTTAAAACCTTGAGAATTTAAGGCCATGTCAACATGATATTTGATAGGATAGCTCCTCTATTAAAGGGCTTTACAATTTTTGAAGCACGTGCAATCTAATTCACGAACGTCTTGAAACAGAGTCTTTTTCTCCAGATGTAATATTCGATATTCTTCCATACATCTTTGTCTATCTCAGAATTTGTCCTAAATACTTTGGTCTGTAAAATGGTTCAATTTTATCCAGTGTTGTAGTGCCAATTTTTATCAGTGAGAAGTATAAAATTGAACTTTAGTGAACCAAGAATCTAAAATATACAATCGCCTGATTATTAATTAATTAAAGTTCTAGCAATCAATAGGCGTGAGCGAGCGAATTAAACTTTGAAATCTTGGATCTTGCATCCCATCCATGGAAGGGCGTTCTTCGCTTTTATTGCTCTTTGCTGATGAAGTGCTTAACATCACTAAAACACTCTCCGATCTTTCCGTTGAAAAAATCATTTGTGTTCTTCTGGTTTCTGTGATGACAGTAGCGTTAGTAGCTACTTTAGGTTTACGTTTTTGATGAGCTAGTTTACTAGGTGTGGACATTGTTGATCTAGCCTCCTCTTTTCTATTCGCTTTACCCAGTAAAAATGGACTCCTTATATTGCTTTCATTTTTTTCAACATGTCTGATCTTTCCAAAGCAAATTGCATCATTCGCTGGCTTCTCCAAACAATATTTTCTGTTGTAACTATCCATCTGCTCCAATAATTTGAGTTGTCGAAACTTTGTTCTAAACACTCGAAAGAAGTGCTGTCTTCTTTCTTGGACTTCGTCAGGCAAAGAGTCTTTATCTTTGCATCTAGCCATGCACTTCAAGTCATGTAGCCGCTGTTTCTTGCTTTCGCTGGCTTTGAACTGCTCATATCTGAATTCTACAGTGCGATCAGAGGCTTTTACACACCGACCTAGCCATAATACCTTAACAACAAATTCTACAGCGTGTTTGAATGATTTTATCCGTCTTGGCTTTCGCCAAATTGGCGCAATATATATTGTATGGACAGCTTCAAAGTCTCGAAACTCCGCCATTGTGTAACGTAGACTGTCGCGGTTAGATACTGATTACTGGTTTTCAGTTGATACGTGTTTTTATAAAATACTGTACGTGCGTAATTGACGCAACTAGCTCAAGGAACATCTTTGGTACCATTGTTTATAATCCCTACATGCAAAGGTTAATTTGTTCCTCTATTCAAAGGGTGTTAAAACGTCAATTCATTGCACGATGAATATTGGTCAGTTTTTAGTAGATAATTCTGCGTTTTGCGCATGAAGACAATGAGGAAAATATACTGATCGACAAGAACAGGACATTTTAATTAACCCTTTAAACCCCTGATGTCAAAATTCAAATTCTCATTTGTTGTTTCTATTAGTAGTCAGCACTAATCGGCTCCTGAAGTAGTTGACATCATTTGTTGAAGTATCAATAAGATTCCATTATCTGTGATCATGTCCTTAATTCTCCTGATCAATCTGTTTTGAAGTATTGATATAACAAGGAGAATTCTCATGCTGATCAATTTTTGGGCCTCAAAAGTTAAATTGAAGTAAATTTTATTGGAACGGCCAAACAAATAGTCACTGGAATCAAATGATAGTGACCTAAATAGAAATGTCCCGGGGGGAAACCCCATATAAAAGTGACAGGGATGACCCCACGGGAGACCAATGTGGGTGTGGCTCAAGCTTAAACTGACCCCTAAGAGAGATTTCTGTGTGCTCAGTGTCAGGGCATTTTTTGTATAAAGTTCTTTATGCACAGTACTAAGCGATACCTGAATGGGCAAATATAGTAACTTTCCATCCCAAACACCCTAGCTAGTTTACACCCCAAAGCAAGACAACGAGCATCCCAGTCACTTTTATTTGGGAGCCCCCCTCCCCGGAGAAATGTCTCATAAATAACATGATTTATTAGAGACTATCACATCACTCAGCGAAAAAAGTTTTGCTGACAATGTATAACCCAACGAAAAAAAGGTAATAAGCGATTTCCGCAAAACATAGCGGCAAATCTGGTAGTTACGTCACGCAACATACGTGATACGTGACGGATGACGCATGTAAAAAAGGGTGTTTCCTGGTGTTGCGGAAATATTTCTTTTTAAGGGATTTTGAGTGGGTACTTTTCAAACGTTTCTATTATGTCATTTGGGGAAACACCAATTATAACACATTTTAAAAGTCAAGCTACTTTGAGTAAAATTTGAGAAAGCTGCCATTTATATGACGTCACAAGTCGTCAGCCGCGCTGTATCCCATATTACTTACATCATCTAGTAAAATTAATCGCAGGCTATCTTTTGCATGTTTACTTTTTGAGAATGTGGTATACTATGGTATGGGACGTCCGAGGGATTTGAGAGAAATACAAGAAACGGATCCAAGATGGCTGGCAATGATTGAGTCAGTCATGACTTCATGATGACTTACTTTTCTCCTAGTATATCAGGCTACTTTTGGGTTTAAAGCCTACACTGTCATGTAGAAAATACGCTTAATGTAAAACAGAGCCGATACTAAATATATTTTGACATTTAACACAAATCGAAAAGTATCAACAGTTCGCACGAAAGGCGTTATAGTTGGAACGGACCCAGTCCATTTCCGGTATAAAAAGAATAATGCTTTCACCGTTTTCATTAAGGCATCCTTGGATTGTGGGTGTGCGTCAGTAGCTTTTCGCAACTTTGATCAACGCATTAATTTCGTCTGGCCACAGGCCACCCACGGGCCTTGCAAATTTATTCCTAGTGCGTACCGGCTTTGGAACATTTTTTTCGCTCGACTTTACCACCCTGGTTTCTCGCAATTTCTCGTTTGGGCTTTTCCTACCTAATCTTGCGCTTAAAGCGTTTTCTTTTTCCCTTGAAACTTTGTCATGATTTGTGTTGGTGATTTTGGTAAAACCGTTTTGAGCTTGGTTTGATGGTGGTATGAGTGCTTTTAACAGTCGTTGGAAGCGGGGGTCATGTATTGGCCCTTCCGCCCTCTTGCTATTTTGCCATATTCCCGGGGAGTAAATCTCTTCATTTCTTTCTTGAAAACTAAACCTTTCCTTTAGAGTTCTGAATGACTGAGCCTTGTGTTTCCTTTGTTCGGGATGTTTTGAATTGCTGGCGTCTTCAGTCAGTCTGTCTGATTGGCATCGTGTTTTTCCAGCGGCTCCATTTGTTCCTGCCAGTTTTTCTGATTTTCTGGTTAAAAGCATTGAAATACCCGTAGAATTCACATCAGGAAGGGTTGTTGTTCGCCATTCACGATCCCGAAGCTTGTCCCACTCGCTTTTCTTGTTTTCGGCCCTGAAAAATGCATCACTTTGAATCTCGTACAGGCGTTGAAACTTTTTCCTTTGCTCCTCTTCAAAGTTCCTGGTGAGAGTCACAATGTTACTCGCATGTTCCTCTTCATTGGTAATTTGTAAAAACAAGTCTGTCATTGTCGGGCTTAGGCTCTGGAGAAAGTTCAACACAATCATCTTGTTTCGGACACGTCTCCAAAACGAAGCCTTTCGAGCTCTGATTTTATCTAATCGCTTATCCAGCGGCCAAATCGGCGCAACGTGAGGAATGAGCGGAAAAATGCCCTCTTTCCGATCGCCCGGATCCTTTGTAGTTATTTCCCGTCTATTTGAAACGGCCATTTTTCCTTAAAAATACACTGATCTCTTCGCGGGAGAGATTAATATACTTTCGTTCAGAGTCCTTTGTTTAAAACCTATAAGTGGAAACAATAAGCCCATTAAATGGATAACAATTTAGCTGCCGCACTGGTTAGGAAGATGAATGACTACTGTTTGGCAACCAATCGATTATTTTCTTAAAGGTAAAGCTTTGTTGGGGTGTTTTTGTCTCTTGTATGTATCTCAGTAGTAATTTTTTAATTACCCGTATATCAATATATATCATGAAAAGAAATACTTTATTATTGGTGGAAAACAAACTATAATTCATGGCTGGGGCGTTTAGACTTAAGAAAGCAAATAAAATATTAATAGCATATTTCGCTGTGGACACATTTTGACATGCAGAAGCCTGTGTTTATACAGAACATTGAAATTACACTAATTCATGACCAAACTTTAAAATAATGAAATTCATGTTGTTATAAGCCTACACGAAAAACTAATTCTTTGATCCTTAAAAAATAAATATTTTGCTTAGTCATTTTCATTTTATTGCAAAAGATTTCACGACCTTTTCAAACTGTCAATGAACATTCAAATTTTCTTCTTTAACACAAAGAAAAATGACACGATATTTGCGGTAATATGTTTTCAGAACTCCCGCTTTCGATTTCATCTTTGTTGTTGTCGGCCACCGTGTCGCTCCTTCTCAGCGCAATTTCCTTTAATAAAGCTTTTTAATTTCCCGGCTATACAGTTTTTCAGACTTAAAAGTCGGCGGTAATTAAACTGGCGGGAATGTGTAATCATAATAGCTTAATTGCAGGTGTATAATTCTAAGGGGCCTTGTCATCGAGTTTTATCAACAGAGTGTGTGTATCAATGGATAACCACTGAGCAGACTGAATGACATTATAGCCTGTCCTAGGCTCCCAGGTAGTCGGATCCGCGCGCGCCCATATTTTGGCGTACCTTTATTCACTTACGCGTCATCCACACTATATCCGAGAGCCTGGAACAGGCCATAACAATAACTATACTACGGCATCAAACCCTTTAACCATTTGCCTCATGACTATAACGGCAAGTTAGGACTGAAAATTGAAAAAGTTGAGCCAAAGTTTTTATAGTTTCTCTCGTCATTTTGAAAAAAAAAAAAAAAAAGAAAAAAACAACTCAGAAACCATTGATTATGGTTCAACCAATCTATTCTCGTGTTGTTCACGGGACAGGTTACGCTGTACATCTGATCAGCGTGTGTACCGTCAAAGTTCGGCCATAGTTTACACAACATCGTTATTGATCACTTGTGATATGGCAGTCTTTAACCTCTTCACTCATGAAATCGATTGTTCACACATATAATGAACAAGGCGTTCCCTCAAAAATGTTCATCTCACAAAAATGGCTAAAATCGAAACTTAAGAAGCTAGGAAGAAACTCCGCCAAATTCATGTAGTCCCTGCAAATACTAAAACAGGAAAAATTACAATAGCAAGAAAAACTGAGGCCCCGTTTATGTGGAGAACACCTGCCTCGGGTAAAAGGGTCCCCCCTCCCAGCCGATTCAAAGGAGATCAATAAAGGGTTTCTGGGTAACTGACCACCTACCCCTTCCCTAAGCCAACATTTTGCCCTAAGTGAGAGGTAACTGTTAATATTGGCTAAGGGCAGGGGTAGATGGGCAGTTCCCCAGAAACGGATAATGATCCTAAAGGTGACCCCTCTGCCCAATTCAAGCCAACACAGCGTTCGGTATGCTCTGATTCTCTAAAACAGCGCTTGCGCAAGTCTGATTGTATCGCCTTGACTGAGGTGACCCGGCTGGGCGCGCGAGAGTCAAAGTGTTTATATGGAGAAAAGTTGGCCCCCGCCAGGAGGGTGACCCTACCGTCCGGCTAGGCAGGTCATCCTTCTGGCCGAGCCAACTTGTTTGTTTCTCATGTAAATGGTTTGTCACGTGTTGTAAGGTAATTTGTGAAAAGTTGACTCGCCCAGGGTAGCTCGGGTATGGGAAAGGAGGGGGGGGGGGGGGGGGTATTTCTACCCGGGACAACTGTTCATCACCTAAACAGGGCCCAAAGATCTCCAAGTACAAATATATTAATTTTGTCTCTTATGCATGATTAATTTTCGATTCTGGTTTTTCCCATTACGCTATTAGCGCTATCCAACGGATAAACCACTATCCAGCGGATAAGCATTAGGGAAACCAATTTCACTATCCACGGGAAAGAGATTTATCCACCTTTTAAACAAGTGAGGCCTGATTGTTAATTTTCATAGGCCTCCGGCCAATTCTCGACCATGTTCGATTTAAGGATGGATTTTATTGGTCATATTCAAGAACAGAAACATTGGATTACCAAGACTGTTCATAGAAATCACTTGTTTTGCACTGTTACATCGGCAACTATGATGTTATTCACGACAATGAAATATCCTTGTGATTAACTAAATCATTCCAATAGCTTGCAAAATAACAACGAAACGAAATATTGTTTGGATCTGTTTGCTTTTTAAATTTCATTTAACCAAATTTGTTAGTAGTAAGTTTTACTTTTTGTTTTTGACTTGAAACGTTTGGAATATTTTGCCTTAAAAATATGTTTCAATTGATTAAGAACTATTTTTATCTCATAAAAATAGTCGTATTTGTTTCCTGGCCCTATTTTAAACAACCGGTTTTTCTTAATTAACAAACAACAAAAGCAAACAACTTAAACTAATTTTCAAGGAAACGACTCAGACAAACTCTTTTTGGGTGAATGTGCTAATAGTTTTCAACACCAGAAACTAAGTTTTTGTGTTTTGAATTTTTAAGAAACAGCTATACTTCCCCAAGATACTTATTTGTGTCTAGCCATCCCGCTGTTTTTGTTATAAAACAGACCATGAAGATAACAATTCATAATGCAAATTGACGTCAAATATGTGTAAGACACCTGAGATGGCAAGACACAAGATTTCATACTACGCACGCGTTGCTCTTCGGCCATATTTATAAACGCCCAACACCTGCTCCCAGAAAATACCCTCAGCGGGTTTGTTTATACCAAACAAACGTAACAGTGTTTAAAATTAGACCTGAATCGATTGTTGTTCCGGAGTTGTGTAGGCGGTTTTCTCGGCAGCAGAATCTATAAGGTAGGTAAGTCGGAACAGAGCCAAAGTATTCCTAAGTGTTATTTGAGCTAAGTTTAATTATTCATACAGATATAATACTAGTTTGAGTCAAATAATGATGAACCACTCTGGCTGCTTATAACAGCACATTTCGCATATTTTGACAGTTTGTGGTATTCAGCTCAGTAACGAATTCTAAAACATGGGCAAGAAAAGAAACCAGAAGGCTTCTCGAAGCGAGAAACGAATGCAAAAACTTTATAATGAAGCCATACGAGAGGTGAAGGAACGAAACTTAAACCTTGACGTTTTGCCTGTTACTGACAGTGAGGATTTAGCGCACGAAAACTCAGAGGAAGGAAAATACGTTTCACAAAAGACACGAAAGAAGCCGAAAGAAGTCCTTGAAGAATCCATAAAGAAACAAGAGGATTTGAGAAAACCGAGAATTCCTCTTTGTGTACCAGTTTCAAGGCTGATCCCTTTCAAGCTAGACCACGGAAGAGGCTTAGAATTCCCTCGGGATTTTTGCCGTGACCCGACCTCACTCTCTTGGATTCCACGTTCGGAGAGCTCACTCGTTTATGAAGTATACAATGCAAGAATGTCCCCAAGTTCAGATTTCAGTGACCTCGAGCGAAAAAGGTCTTTGTCGTGTGGGGAACTCTTTGCTGGAAGGAACTCAAGTGTAGGAGACGTATTACAGATTTTCCCTTTGCGTGCTGGGAGAGTCGATGAAGGTAACCTCCCAGAGTCTCATAATCGCTCACAACAACTTCCGCCAATTTACCGACAGGATATTTGGCGGGAAACTATGCGACGAGCTTCAGAGCCTTCACGCTCAATTCCCGCCAAACACGACTCGTGGAACATGGGCGCAATGTCCTTGATGGTAGGTAGGCCAGAACTCTACACAAGAGAGAAATGCAAGTCTTCTGTAAGTCTTGCCGAGAGACGTTTTCGTTTGAGAGCAGCAACGATTACCTTATAGAGGAATAATAACGCCAAAAGTAAATAGTTGAATAGCAGATGGAGTTTTCTCCTAAAATTTTTGAAAAGAAAAGGTACGAAGATTACAAGAAATTGGGAAAGGTCGCTCCTTTTCAAAAACATATACAAAATAAGATTTTCAACATTCCCTTTGGTCTAGCAGCTTCGTGTAGTTTTTAAACGAAACGTCTTTGCATGAATTCCCGAGTGCCTCTTCAAGACCCGCAAAGACAAATGTACAGCAAAAACACCGAAGTGACGGATTAACATTCAAGGCAAAAAAATGATTGAATAGAAGAATGGGCAACGGGCTGCTGAATTGGGTATTGTACGTTTTCATAGAAAATATGGTCAAGATCTTTATAATAACCATAACTGAACTTTAAGTTTAATTGTGGTATGCGTAATTTTCAGGTGATCAAAACCTCCGTCTTTCATTAGCGCTTACTTCATGTCGTATATTAGTCAAAGGATCTTTCTAAGCCAAGTTACGCCATCAGAATTCCTCGTGTTGTAGGATTTTTTCCTTTTCTGGGCGGTTCTCCCCTTTTTGGAAACCTTGCGACACATTACCTTTCGTATCCTTATTTCCTGAGGTGATAACTGGTATGACAACGTTGTTTGATTGGCAGACACTGCAGACGGAGAATTATAGTTTCATCTGAATCAAGATGAAAACGCCTTACATTACGTAACATATCGTTTCAAACTTTCTAAGGTCACGGTCACAAGGTAACTGTTACGGTTGCTTATTATTAAAATTGTAACTGCGATCCTGGACCTAAACAGTTATGGAATGGTTCTCTTCGAAAGAATTCCCCAAAACGCCAAGTAATGAGATTATATTAATGTGATGATTCCAGTGCCAAGGAGTAGAAGGGAATAGTGAAAGGGAAAACACA